GAGATATGGGAGCAACAAATTATTTAGAGGGATACAATACAACATTGATTAATAAAGTAGCAAATATGCCTTAGTTAAGCTGATTTATTTTTTTCTCTCCAGAATTTGTAACCCTTGTAGTTATAAGTTTATAACCCTTTTATTTAAAAGCTCGGGCTTTAATTTAAGATTTAAGATGACATGTGTGCAAGGCAAAATAAATAATTTAAATGTTTTATTTGTTCAACATTTTTTACAATTATCAAGAATGCATGAACAGCCTGCTCATAACTTCATTTGCACTGAAACTTAAACTAAGAGTGGTCAGTTTTCTTTAATTGCTACTAGCATTTAGTTCATACAACAACAAAAAAAATCCAGAGAGATTAAACTGTGATGGAAATTGATAATCAGATAGAAATACATAGGAAAATTCTTTAAAAATTATCCTCTCAAGTATAGCAAAGCCATGACTGGTCATTTGACTACTTTTGGAATTTTTTTAAAATTAATATCAATTGTCACATTATACATGTTTATAATATCTTATTAACATAAATGCATCTTATTAACATCAATGCATCATTAATACATACATAAATAGATAATAAATACAAAAAAATATAATAGTGACAATTGAGAGGGGGAAAGAGAAAGAAAGAAAGAGAGAAAGAAAGAGGGGTGAGAAATGGTGAAAGAAGAACAGAAGAGCATGTTCAAAGGAATAAGGTAATGGTATATGTATATGTCCAAGCATTGCAAAAGGTCTCATGGTGTCTGGTTTCAGGGTCTTACATGAGTAAAAGCCAGTCTTTCCATTTATTATTAAATTTATTAATTTGATTACTTATTGTTGCACTATATTTCATCGTAGATAGCAATGTTTTAATATCTCCACGTAATGCTTGTAATCTCAAAACCTCATTCCGGCATTTAGTTCTATAAATAAATGATTTAATACATAAAAATATTGTGTTTAATTCAGTATTGTTGGGTTTTAGATTTCCAAAAATGAAATTACAACTATCTTTTGGAAACTCTAAATTATGAGCTTCACAAAGAATGGTAAAACTATGTAAAAGCTCCTGAACCTTCTGGCATTCCCATATAATATGAAAGATTGTTTCCTCACATGTCTCACAGAAGCTACATAGTTTAATATCCTTCAAACCATTTGACCAATCTTTTGTCATAGTTGAGTTTTGGAACTCTGCTTAAGTCAACATCAAAATAAATACCCAATACTTTAAATTGTGTTGTCCATTTAAAATTCATTTCATGAAGAAATTTTTCATTTGAATATTTTTTGCTTCCTATCCAGACTATTTGTGTTTTCGAGAGATTTATCTTAAGTCCTGATAATTTATAAGATTGATTTATTTCTTCAATGCAATTTATGAGGGATTTTTCTGTTCCATCTAGTATAATTAGTGTGTCGTCTGCATATTGAGACATTAGGTTTTCCTCCCCATCAATTTTAATCCCTTTAATATTTTTATTATTTTTTATTTTTAAAGCTAGAATTTCTGCACATAGTAAAAATAAATATGGTGAAATTGGATCACCCTGGCGACAACCACGGCCTAGTTTAAAGAAATTAGATAGGTGGCCTGCTTGAGTGATTGCTGATACAATATTACATTGAAATAATGAAACCCATCTTCTTAAAGAAGGACCAAAATTAAAGAATTCCAAGGCTTTATCAATAAAATTCCATGACATAGTGTCAAATGCTTTTTCAAAATCAATCATTAATAACATTTCAGGGATATTTTTTTCTTCTGTATAATGCATTAGATCATAAATTAATCTTGTGTTTTCTCCTATGTATCTTCCGGGTACAAAACCTGTCTGGTCTGAATTTATAACTGTATTCAAGATATTTTTTCATTCGACTTGCTATACAGCAAGAACCTATTTTATATACAACGTTTAATAATAAATGATATGGGACGCCAATTTTTTATGAAAAGTTTTCTTTTTCCTTCTTTGGGTATACAAGTGATAATTCCATGTTTTAGTGTTACAGAAAGATCTCCTTTTTGGTAACCATGATTTATTGATCTTACTATGAAATTGCCCAGCTGTTTCCAGAAAACTTTGAAAAATTCTGTTGTATAGCCATCGCTTTCAGGACTTTTATTATTTGACATATTTTTAAAAACTAGTAATGCTTCACTTAAAGTTATCTCCCCTTCAAGACTATTCTTTTGTGTATCACTAAGTTTTTCTGCAGCAATGTCCCACGTATGATCCTTCCTTCTCATTGCTTTTTTTTTCTTTACATAACTAGAATAAGAAATTGTCTTGCCTCTAATTTCCATTAATAGTGTAAGCTACCCCAGGGGTGGCTAGTATTTATGAATCCTCAGCATATATATAGGCCATTGTTTATCATCTAAATAATTCATCTTCTGTCTGGATGTAACAGTAATCAAATTTGTTCTTATGTAATTTAAATAACCAGGCACCACTCTGTGTAGATTCTTTGTTGAATGATACTCAAGATGATTGATCAGTCATACTCAGCATTTATTGTATGTGCAGCATCTCATAATCATAACAATACAATATATAAATATCAATATAAAACAGCTGATTCTTCAGAAACACAAGTTTACGTCGTCCAGTGTGGTAGGAGATTTCTAACTAGGTTAAATATACGTAAATAACATTCTAAGTATATCACCGTTTTGGTTTTCTTTCTTTTTAACTTTCAAATGTAGCCGCCATACAACTAGCTGAAATCTGTTGTAGCGTAGTACGCACTTGCTTTTAAAACTTCCTATTCCCTGTCACATGACTCGAATTATCCAATGAAATTATGCCGTATGAACTATTAACCAATCAACAGCTTGTACGGAAAGCTGAGTTCCCACACAAGTTCCCACACAAGAACTACTTTTGCCACACAAGCTACCGTACAACATCGTAACAAGTAAAACTATGTAAAATTAACAAGTGGAAATAAATTAAGCTTGACTAGACGAATTAATAAATTCCTTCATTGTTTATAAAACATCCCTAGACTGTACAATATATGCTGAACAATGTAGCGTATGAATATCTAACGTACACCAAATGTAGTCCCGATAAAGCTGACTGATTATAAAGTTATTGCTCACAATAAATAACAACTTGTAGCTTCAAATCACAAAACAACTCAAACTAAAATGTAGAATACGATCTCATATTCATAACTTGAATAGAACAATACATTACTAGTAAATACATATAGGTCACCAAACCGGAAATGACGATCCGAGTAAATAATGATGACTTCCAAAACATGAAATGTAAAATCCACCCTCTATTCCCCGATATAATAAGTCCTACGATATTACATGAAGCGACAACAGGTAAATCATGATGATAATAGCTATTACTAAAATCGTATTTAGATAAGTTGACATATTATTTTCAATAAAATCATAAATGAACAATTTTCCTAGCAGGCACATGTTGAACATAGATTTAACAAGAATGAGAACTGGACGACTGCATAATATTACGTTTACAAATCAAGTGATATATTACAATAGTATTTCAAGTAAAAGCTGTTCATCTGTAGTAAACTGAATTTCTGCATCTGATATTCCTTTCATACATTCTTTAGAATAGATAGGTAATACATAATTTTCCTTTGTTTCCTGAATAACTTTGTTGACTGTTTCAGTATCTTTAATATCTTTAAGAAGTGAGTTATTAAATTTCCACAAACCTTTTCGATGAGTAAACTCATTCAATTTAATCTTTAGGCATATCGGTGAGTGATCAGATTTATAACTATTCAAAATTTTACTTTCTTGAACATTATTTAAATAAGAATTTGATATAAGAAAGAAATCTAATCTTGCTTGTTTACTAGGAAAAAGTTTAAGCCAAGTATATCTTGTTTCATCAGGATGCATTTCTCTAAAAATATCACTGAAATCAAAATCAGAGATGATTTCTAGAACTTTGCTTCTTGCCTTTGGATTATTGATATGAAGATAATTAAAATAATCCTTTTCTGGGTCTAAAACCAGATTAAAATCTCCAACCAAAATAACATCTTGATTTGATAAATCCTTTATAATATCTGACAGTCTTTCATAAAATGAGGGTGAGTCCTCATTTGGTCTATATATTGATATTAAACTCAGACGCTTACTTTACGAAAATGAATTAAAATATGCCTCAGATCCCCATTCATTTCTAATACCATTCTCCATATCACTTGTAAAGTAAATGTCTTGTAGACACAGAATATTGCATTGAAGTTGCTTATAATATTGGAACACGTCCTTTCTCTTTTTAAAGTCATGCAGACCCTGACAATTTGCTGAAACTACTGTAAACCCAGACATGAGATATAAAATTGAACTGGTGCAAAAAACTTTGACAAACATTTACTCACCATCAGAAAAAGTGTTGCTCTAAACATGCTAAAGGTAGAAGAGTAGATAGAAGAGGAGATTAGAGAATGGTTTAGTAATAAAGACACATGCATCAAAGAGTGATAGATGTGCACGTCGTGTTAGAGATTTAGTCGATAGGGCAAAAACATTTTTATATATAAATCATATCGAATATGTAAATCCGGAAAAAGTACAAATATATTTACCAAGTTGAAAACTATTTTTAAATCCGGTTTTACACATTTATATGTTAAACAAAAATAATATTCTTAATGAAAACTTTCATTACATTAAATTTGAAGAGAAAAAGGCATTGATATTCGTACTTAGGCCTACATATGAAAAATGAACATATTTACAAAATCAAAAAGGTCACCTGTTATTATGGATACGTCAGTCTTAAATTGCCTGACTTATGTGTGTATGTCTGTATGACATCGAAAGTCACATTTCCAAAGAATTGGCGACTTCATTTAACAGTTTTTCCATGATCGAAAATCTCTGATGTCCAATATGGGCATCACCCATCCACTTTGTGATAACGAAAGCTGCATTGTAAATGTTGTTTTCTTTCATATAGCGCAGCATCTTACGCCCAGCTCCATGTTCTGAATCGTCATGCTAATTTTCGTGCACGGTACAGTCCTCTGTAGAGAATCTATATACCAAGATTCGGTTATCTGCACTTGCTGCGTAGGGATCTATTAAAACTTTGCTGTACATATTCTTCACCCCATCTACAGTTTTAACTCGAGCACCGAAAGCCATAAATTCCGAGCTGTCCTTTTTGATTGGGTCTGAGTTTTTTATTTCAACCGAGTCTAGGTGTTCTGTCTCTTCAGGTGTTACCAATAAAGCATCTGCATTTGTAAGAAATGGTACGTCATCTTTATATCTGGAGCCGTTGGGCAAAATGACCTGATTCTTTTGAATCTTAACAGTGATGTTTTGGCTGTGCAAACACTCTGCCGTATCAAACACCTTGTTTCGAGCGGAAACAATTGATGCAGGTTGCTGCGTTGTATTAAAGAAAGGCAATGGCTGTTTAAGCAATTTTCTTTAGGTTTTGGGCATTTAGAATTGTATTGATTTTACTACGGTCAGTGAGCTTTGCGGTAATGGATACAGGTCGGTCAGAATTATATTCTGGACGCACCCCATTCCTATGAATCCTTACAAAACTGACATCCACCCCCTGACATCTTTAAAAGTAACTGGCATCGATGTTGTTAGGTTTTCGTTGGGTTCGTAAGGATAATTATGAATAAGGATATTGTCCCGCATATACCTTGATCTTAGATCTGTTACACCATCTTCAATAACGGACATTTTCCTTTCCATTCGGATTACAACTGATTGTAGTAATTCTAGTTCTCTCCTCAACTGAGCGTTTTCTTGACGCAGCAAAGATATATCTTCATAATTGCTCTCACTTTTCATAATTGCTCTCACTTTGTTCTGAAACGTATTTTAATTTTGCATGTACACACTGCTCACCCTTCGACAGATCATTTCTAATAGTTTCCACTGATGTTTTAATGTCCTCAATAGTGGCAACAATAGACTGATTATCGGCTGGGTCTCCTAACGGTTCACTACCTGCATTCTTCTGTGAGCACTCCTCAGCCTGTTTTTAGAAGTAGCCCCGGTTTTTCTTCTGTCTGACGGCATTGTTAATGCAGAAATTTGACAAATATCACATAGCCCCCTCAAAGCACAAAAGTAAACAGTTAACAAGATACGAATATTAAATCCTTCTAGAAATGCCTTAAATTGACCAAAATCTCTGACGGCATTGTTAATGCAGAAATTTCACAAATATCACAAATAGCCCCCTCAAAGCACAAAAGTAAACAGTTAACAAGATACGAATCTTAAATCCTTCTAGAAATGCCTTAAATTGACCAAAATCTCCGGAGCTCAAAACTAAGCCGCCATAACCTGAGATGTCACGTGATTTTTTTTACTACTTTTGGATTTAATCTTTTCAATAATAAACCAATTTCTACTTTTTCCTAGCATCAATGCTCATGTGAGCGATGTGGCCCATGGGCCTCTTGTTTATAAGTACTATCAGTTACGAACTTTCATGAATTTACGTTCATATTATTTTACATGTATATCTTTGCTTCTTACCATTCCTCATCTAATTAATATTTATACATGCGTGCATGAGGTCGATTTAAAAAAAGTTTCCATTAGTTGGTTATCACCTTTGTTCGCCGCCGACTAGATACAAGATACAAGATACAAGATTTTATTAATCCAATTTGGGCCCCCGGAGGAGCAAAAAGATTTACAAATAGAAGGAGGAGGATCCAAATGATAGAACAAGCATGATGATGATATTACAAATAAAGAGCAATTGTTAAAAAAAACAAATACGCAAAAAAGTATATGAGATATACTGAATATACATACATGTATTGTATTGTAAGTTACATACAAATATATAATTTATACATATATATAGTTAAAGGCAAGAAACTGGGAAAGAGGTATATAATTTTTTATGCATATCAAAATATCCTCAATTAAGGTAGATTACCATGGAATCTAGCAAGTAATCTAAGGATGTCAGGATCGTCAATACTCATGAGCCAATAAAATTGATTATCATAAGATAGAGAGTAGAGACTGAAAGTTTTTACATTTAATTTTACAAATATTCATGAGTTCAAGTCCTTGTTCATTAAGATGAGGACATACAAGGAGAAAATGAATTTCATCCTGAATCTCGTTGTGATGACAAAGTGAACAAATTCGTTCCTCTCTAGGTATTTTTTGGTAACGTCCAATTTCAATTTTAAGCCTGTGAGCCGATATTCTTAACTTTGTTAAAACTGATCTATGTTGATTGTTTGTAAGAATATCTAGATAAGGTTCAAAACAAAATTTAGTCTTTATGCTGGTAAAGGTAGACAATTTGCCATCTTTATGTAAATTCCTGTCTTTTTCCCATTTTAATTTATAGAAATTCAGTAATATTCTTTTCAAATTGATTTTGAATTGTGGGGTTGACATACCTAGGAAATCACTAATTTTAATATCAATATGGTTAAGTAAAAAGTTAACACAAGAATACCATGAAGTAAAACCATTTTGGTGTAGTGTTTTAGAGCAGTTAAAAGCCTCACTAAGCAAGGGAAATTCACCATCTAGATTCTCTAATCTATGCCAGTATAACAACATATTTTTAATGACATCAAAATGTAAATTCAAACGTCCTAGCTCAGATCTTACAGCAAAATTGCTGCTTTTACCATGAACCATTAGTAAATGTTTGTAAAATTTAAGATTTAAAATTTCGCCTTCTAAGCTTTGGTATATTTTGTCTAGTGTTATATTTGGATTTCTCTTAAATTTAGAGGTTGTTGGGTCAAAAAAAAAACCATAACTCCGAACCATACAGGATAATGGGTTTAATAGTGTGGTCAAATACATTTAAAGCAGTTCTAATTGATGGATTAAATGTTAGAAAGTCTTTTTGAAGTTTGAAATAGGCTTTTTTGGCTTTGTTACAACAATCATTTTTAGCATTACTTAGTGTTCCAGATGCATTAACAGTCAGACCCAGATACTTGTATTGTTTAACACATTCAATATTGTTGTTATCCAGATGGAATGGAATTTTAACGTGTTTGCCAGATGAATTGAAGGCTATGATTTTTGTTTTCTTTGTATTAACTTTGAGACACCAGTCCTTACAGTATTTACTTAGTATATCGAGTTTTTCTTGTAGACCTTCAGCAGTTGGGGAGAGAAGTACCATGTCATCAGCATACATTAGGCAATGAATGGACATAGATGAATCATTGTTTAATTTTACAAAACTTTTAGAATTTGACAGATAATTTGATAGATCATTGAGATAAATCTTGAATAGGTTTGGGCTCATGTTATCACCTTGTCTTACCCCATTGTAAGTACGGAAATGACCGATTAATTTGTTACCCAATTTAATAGAAGAATAGCTTTTAGAATACATATCCTTAACAATTGAGTAAAATTTAGTGCTAATACCAGCTTTTAGTAGTTTAAGCTTCAGACCAGCATGGTTTATACTATCGAAGGCCTTATGAAAGTCAACAAAGCAAGCATATAGCTTCCCTTGTTTTGATTTGCAGTATTTTTCGACAAGTGTTTTCGAGACAAAAACATGATCTGAAGTTCTAGCTTGTTTTGTAAATCCTATTTGACAAGGATTGATTTTATCATTGCATTTTAAATATTTATCTAATCTTGAGTTAAGAATATAGTTAAACAGTTTGCCAATTGAGCTGGTTATTGTGATTCCTCTATAATTGTTGGGATCATTAGTGTTGTTAGATTTGTATACTGGAGTAATGTATCCTTCACACCATGAAGAAGGATAATATCCATGAGTTAAGCAACCATTAAAGATTTTCAGTAATATTGGTACCAAGACCGTTTGACCATGTTTAAGCATTTCATTACATATTCTATCAGTACCAGCTGCCTTATCATTTTTAAGTTTACCGATTGCTTTACTTATTTCATTGAAAGATATTTTGTAGTCAAGTTCATTAAATATGGGTGTTGTTGTTTTCTCAGCTTGTTTTAGTTGGTCTTTAAGAAACTGATCTCGATCCAGGAAATCCTCATGAGTTTTATTCAATTTTTTGAAGTGGTTTAACCACTCATTATTAGAGATTGATGTATCAATTGTCTTTGTATTTCCAGTTCTTAATTCGCCTATAAGTTTCCAATATTTTTTTGGATCAGTTGAATTTAAAGCATTTAGGTTGTTGATAATATTAGAATGGTATGTTCTAAATTTTTGTTTTCGTAGTTTGTTATATATTCTACATGCTTTGTAATATTGATTCTTAATATTGATATCTCTGGGGTAGTGGCCAAATAAAGTTCCCTTCCTAACTAGTTTTGAGCGCATATTTATCAACTCATTATCAAACCATTTCTTTTTATGTTTAGCAGAGCTTTTATTACTTTTACATGTTTTATTTTTAGGTAAGTTTGGTTTTAATGACATAATGGCTGCAGCTTCCAGGGAATCTTTTAATCTATTTATTGTCCATTCTATAGATTCTATGTCATTGATGCTCATGGTGTTATCAAGATTGCATTTTATTTTGGGGGACTGTAATGCCTCTATAAATTTAATAGCAGAGTCTTCCCCCCACTTAAAGGATGAATGGGTCTTGTAATTATTATTATCTATACTATTTTCTCTATTAGAAGAATCATGTTGAGAAAAAATATTCCATGATAACATACAGTGGCAGTCAGATAATGTGGAAATAAAATCTGATACTTCAAAAAACAAAATACGTTGTACAATTTCTTCATCAGTTAAAAGATAATCAACAACACTACTTCCATGATAATTATGGCAAGTGAAATTTCCAAAAATGTCACCAAAACATCTTCCGTTCATAATACGAAGTTGGTTTCCAATACAAAAATCTATTAGTTCTTTTCCTCTCTTATCCACACAAGTGTCTCTATTAACTCTTTTGAAAATATCATTATCAATTTTATATGTTTCAAATAAGGGTAAATATTGGTTATTATCATCTAGTATATAATCAGTTGCATTTCCTGTTCTAGCATTAAAATCTCCACAAAGCATTATATTTCCTAAATCTTTATATTGATTAATATCCTTCTGTACGAGTTCCAGAATATTAACATTATTTCGTGTTATTGCAGGTGATCCCTCAGGGGGGTTGTAAACAGTACATATATACAAATCCTTCTCAAAATTAAAAAAAGTTTTTTCTAATTTGATCCATTGATACTCACTACATGTATTTTTAATTACAGAAACATGATCTTTAATCTCATGCTTAATTAATATTGATATCCCTCCAAAGTATCTGCCATTTTTAGATATATTTCTACAAATTGTGTGGCAGTAAAAATCATCATGTAATACAACTGTGTCTGGTCCAATGTGTGTTTCCACAAGAAATACTAAATCTTTATCTATAATTTTTGATAGAAAAAGCTCGTCATCCATTTTGTTCATACCTTTTGATATCAATCCTCCAACATTCCAAAAAGCACATTTAACATTTGTTTTTCTGTACATCTGATACATTCTAAGAAAAAATACCAAATTTTCAAACCCAAATCAAGAGAAATAGATATTTAAACGTGTGTGCCATTGATCTTCTGTGTATGGTAGACCGGTAGTTATTACTTGTATAAGCTCTTGAATGAAGTAAACCTTAATGTTTGTTTGCGGTCGGTTCGTCATTTATTTTTCTCTATCGTTCAATTTTCAAATTGTATATAACATGAACGATGAATGAACCAATTAAATAATCGACGTTGACTTAAAGTGTATTCGATGGTATGTGCCTTATGGGTTATATCATTAAGGCAAATGCTAACTGGCGTTTTTCAAACCAATCGTCAGACCATTATCCATATGCCTGATTATGAATACACAGTATATGTAGGGTCTCACGGTGATAAGACCGGTCAACAAAGGGATGCTTCTTCCTCCATGGCACCTGTTGGACATAAAACTTAGACGAGCTTACTTTTGATCTCAGTCTCACTTTACCCAAAGGCATATATATATAGCGGAAAAGACAGACTGAGATCAAAAGTGAGCTAGTCAAATTTTATGACCCCCAGGCCAAATCCCACCTCTGCTGTTTTCGAGATCGTATAAAAAT